ACTTTAATCAAAGCTTCTTTCCTAAAATTCCCCTTTTTATTTTCATTTTAAACACTTTCCCTTTTTATTCACACTACACAATTTAAAATCCACTTTCATAGCAACTTCTAGAAATTAGTAGACACCGTGGGCATGTAAATTAACATCTAAGCATGCTTTTCACATAAATTCATCAACACATATAAGCATATATTTCAATTACAACAATTATATCAATTTCAAGGCAATTTAATTCAACTAAAGCATGCTTTACAAGAAATTTAAAAAAAAAATTTATATATGCTTTCATACATCATTTCTAGCAATTAGAAATACAATAGGCATAAGAAATCAACACTTAAACATGTTTTTCACACAAATCAACATGTTTATATAAAATCATGAATTTTATACATTACAACAAAATCATTCTAGGATAATTATCATCAATTAGATAAATAACAACAATTACATGAAATTAACTCACAAAAGAACAAGAATATGTGGGTTAGAGACCCCCTACCTCAATCTAAGCTAAAAGCCCCAATTTTCACCTCAAACCTTCAAAATGGGTGTCAATTTTTGGACTTCTTACAGTGGCCAAAAGCTGAAATTGCTGGTATGGATTTGAAGGTCTCGTTGTGAGCTTCGTTTTGCCGCAAACGGCACTTAAAAATTCCAAAGGATGAAGGAGAAATCTTGGATTGAAGTTGTAGAAGAAAAAAATATAATTTTTTTTCTTTTTTCCTTTCCAGCAAGAAAAGGCTGGTGATGGCTTAGCCATTACCTTTGTTATAATGCATGTGGGTCCCACCATTTATTTTATTTTCTTTTTTTCCTTTTTTTTTTTTACACCACACAATACATATATACACATAATAATAATTTACAACCATATAAAATACATTAAATAAAATGTCTGAAATGCTAATGGACCCGATAAAAATCTCCGTATGCAAAAATTCCAGTAGCGAGTTTCACACGGGACCATCCGGCCCGAAAAACAAAAAAAAATGAAAAAATGATAAATCCTAAATTTCAAAGAGTCCTGAACTCAATGAATTGTCCTAAACAGCTCATGGACACAACTGGCACACTCTACAGTATTCGGCACGTAAAACGGCAAAAGACGAAAATGCCCTTGCAATGACAAAAATTCCAAAAAAATGAAAAATAGCGAAAATTGAAAACATCACATCTTCAACTAATTCATAGCTAACACTATCATCACTTATTGAACTAGAACAAGTGGAATACCTTGGAGTGCTTTGGCCGGTCCTGGTCAAGATGTTGACAAACTCCTCCTCAAGCAAAGCCATGGCAACCTTGATCACGCTCTTGTCATTAGACACTAATTCATATGCAGCCTCAACGCTTTCTGGAGTTCCAATTGTAGGACAAGCTTCAACTTCACTTTAAGTCCTAATACAACAACTAGTAAAAACCCAGAGAACAGGCAACTAACAATGTGTATCTTTAAGGTCTTCGTTTTTCAGTTGAAGGAAAAGACTGGAAGAAAATTTGTCAAGAAAAGATATTGCTGACACTTAAAGAGGAACTATAGTCCACCCTACTGTCTTCCCACCTTTGAACAAAACACAATTTCAATCATTGAATGCAAATTGTTGGACCCACTCAACCATGGGAGGAAGAATAAGAGTCCTTCCTTGCTTTGGATAGCTATGTTACATGAGTTATGTGGGTGTTGCTCGAGTGGGCCAAGCCTTAAGTGTCCCACCCTATCATCTTAGATTCAAGTCTCCTTCCCCCCGCTCAACCATGGGAGGAAGAATAAAAGTCCTTCCTTGCTTTGGGTAGCTATGTTACATGAGTTATGTGGGTGTTGCTTGAGTGGGCCAAGCCTTAAGTGTCCCACCCTATCATCTTAGGGTCAAATCTCCTTCCCCCTAACTCCACTAACTTGTTAGGTCAAAAAAAAAAAAAAAATTGTTACATGGTCTCGGGTATGTGTGCCGGGTACAGGTATATATTCATGCGTCGAACGTGTTATATTTCTAAATAGAAGGACACATAAACACTGCTAAATATCATCTTATTTAATTATTTAATTTTATTTTTTAAAATAAATTTTTTTTTTATGTAATAGGTATTTAATTCATTTAGTAATATTATAATAAAATTGAATGATTGAATATGTTTTTTCAAAATAAATATCCAACCAAAAGTGTTAGACACATATCCAATACCTATAAATAAACAATATGAGTCGAACATTGATACTTCACTATTTTAAAGTGTCCATGCAACTTAGATATATAGGAATTAACATGGGGTCTCTCTATTAATTAGTGTACTCCTATAGTTAACTAAACCTACCGCAAGAAAGACAAAACAAGAAAGGCAGACCTTGACTTTCTTCTGCTTGGGCCGATTTCAAAAGGAGACTCGGAGGCACAACCTGCGCCAACAAGACAAAAAAGAAAAAGGAAAGTGGAACCAATTAGAAAGAAGTACATCAACTTTGAGAAATTATTACATGGTATTAGGATTCTAGGCTAATTATGTGATGACACATAAGCAAATATGTTAATTTTGTATCATTTTTTTTTTTTTTTTTTTTTGCTTATGTGTCAAAACGTGATTGGCCAAAAGATTCTGTTGAACGCTGCAAATATTTGATGACTGATATAATGGATAAAGGAAAGAATCAAGATCTCAAGCTATATACAAAGATCAAAATTGTAAAAGCTGTATAGAGATTAAAGTAAAACTTCCAAACATTTCCACTACAAGGCATCAAAGTTCTACCACCTTGCTTCACCAATGAAGAAGAGGTAGTGAAAGGTCATACTTCCTATGTATGTAGATTTGAATCTGAAAGCCATGGAATTGGAATCAAGAGACATAATGAAGTGGAGGATATTATAAGCAAGTTGTGACTTTTTTCAAGTATTAACCATCATAGAAGACGTCCAGGACACATTAGAGTTCCCCATACTGAACAACCATCAAAATCCATGGCAGTGAAAGAGGAAAAAGATGAACTAGTTGTAAAGAGTGCATTAACAGAGTCCAGATGTAGTAGAAGCAAGCACACAAGTCATCTACTGACACAGCCGAGAATATAGGAACAAAATCAGCTCCATTTACAACGAATCAATGAGTTCATTGCCTGATTCTACCCATTCCCATGTCATATATACATACAAGCAGCTGCATCACATACAAGCAGCTGCATCAGATATCGTAAGTCATCAGAATAGCAATGCTGAGCTAGCAAAAGATAAATTTAGGGCACCCAATAAACAAGTAGTACATCCAACACAAGAATGGGCATCATCAAAATAAATTTAGAGAACAGAGGGGCATCATATATTAATTCAACCAAAGGAAACAAATTCAAGACACAGTGCTTAATAGACACTAAAAGTGGGGCAAATGTAACACAATTAACCGTTTGAACATTCCTTCTGCTAATGGAGTACATATATATGTCAAAAGAGCTGCAATGGCCCCACCTGAAGAGTGTCCTAACAATCTAATAAGCAGTGTTAACATATAACAGTCATATGATATAGAATCGGTAGCAGGAAGAAATAGCATAAAATATGACTACTACAAATAACAAATTTTATATATTCTTTTAAGCACTCAAATAGTACAAGAAAATGAAATGAAGTAACAGAGAAAGCTAATATGAATTCAACCTAGAATTTGGTTAAGCAAATGGTTTCTAATGGAACAAGAGTGGGGAGGTAATACTAGTCAAGGAGACGTCTATGGCAAAATCCACCAGCATATATTATGAATCTATAAAATTGTGCAAAATCATCAATAAATTTCAATATCGAAGCAGCATATACAGTTAGTACCTGTGGTTCATAGGACACATTCACCATAAAATAATAATAATAATATATAAATAAATAAAAGGAACGATAATTATAGATTATACATCACTTTGATCAAACAGTGGAACATTTAAGATTCCGAAACAGTCGCCTGTGCAGAGAACCATGCTGCGCACAGGAGAGGATCCGGGATCATCTCTGAACAAGGGGAATGTAATTATGTGGTAGTTATTTCTTGTTAAATTGATCGTAGACAATAGTACGTACACCATTACGAACTTGGCATAAGAAAACTATACCTATATTAATATTCTAAGAAGTCCAGTCCAAATTTTTAACACTCTAATTAATTAACCACACTAAGGGCCAAAGACTCATCTAGAGATTAAATCCTGCACCAAATCTGCAAAAATGGTTGGATCCCCCAAAAGAATACAAACTGTTTTCATGAGGGGTATCTTCACAATCTCAGTAAAGAAGACAGGAAAACAAAGAAATGGTATCAAAAAAAAAACTTCTTACATTTGGAACACAGAGAAAAATAAGTGAGAACCTTCATCTTCCTGTGCACAGCACTGTGCTGCGTGCAGGAGAGGATCCAGGTTCATCTATAAACAAGGAGAATGTAGACTCTGGTTGTCTTTTTGTTATTTCTTGTTAAATCGATTGCAGACAACAGGACATCATTACAAACATAGCATAAGAATACCATACTATATTAGTACTCTAGCAATTAAGTAGAGTCCAAACTTTTAACATTGTAATTAACCAACCACAGTAAGGGTCAAAGACTCATCGGGAGATTAAATCCAGCACTGCAAAAATTGTTCGATTCCCCAAAAGCATACAAACTATTGTCATGAGGAGTATCTAATCCGCTGTTTGAAAACTTCGAAGAAAGAGAAGCTGTCTACTAGTGTGTCTTCCAAAACTTACGAAAATCCCTATTTGAATCAAATACAAGCCTTGGAGGCCAGGAAAAGACCTGTAACCTGGGATCAGCTTGTCAATGCATCAACCGCCGCCTTTTACAGTACTTCTTTTCATATTCTTCAACCATGGCTTTGAGGGTCTTGAGCATCTCTCTGCTAGCACTCGTTGACATCCCAGAAGAGCAGCACCCACTACTGGTACATAGTTTTCTGTATCTCATCATACAGGATTTGATTCTAGATATTGAAACTTCCATATAGTAGATAAGAAGTTCTTTTAATTTTTTAACAAATCATAGCCAATCATCATCCTCAATTCTGGACAGCCTATAATTCTCTCAAAAATGTAAACGACATTGTCCATCACGAACGTAAGAGCCAAGTCAAAATCATCGTAGTGTTTGGACTTGACATTCAATTTGCATACTAAATTCTTAATGATCCAAATTAAATGGAGTGCCAACGGAGTTCGCCCCTCAACTTCTATAGAGTCCATATCAATAACCGTCCCATCATCCCAATATTTCAGATCTGTTGATGGCTTAGATACAATTAATGAAGTTATAGATTGCTTGTACTCAGAGACCCGAATTGTATAATCCATCACATACCTAGTCAAGTTGTGAATAGTCCCAACTGGAGCCAAAGTTGTTGACTGCTCATGACACACTTCTTTCTCTAGCTGCAATAGAGTCCCTCTGACTACTTCCTTGAGCTGAGAAAGTATGTCAACAGCCCGGATTATAATAGATGACTCAACAACCTCGATTTCAATAGGCTCCGCTGATTTTGATTGAAAAAGAACGTCCACTTCCAGCAGAAGATCTGACAATGCTTCATGGAGGTCCATAAACTTGAACAGCCTCTCTGGCAATAAACGACTAGTACTTATGGCATCTACAAAGTCAAATAACTGAACTGTAGCATCTCTAACTATTTCCATAAAACAGAAATCAACTACAACAGTTTCAAGACCTGCAAAGATTTGCTTAGAGAGTTGCTTCTCTTTGGGAAAGAAAATTCGAACACAAAACTTGGCTGCACGTATCCACTGTTTGATCTTCAGCTCCAACACTTGCCACTCCAACCTCCAGAGATCTTCAATGCTCAATTCCTCGATGCCAAGACGTTGAAAACACATGTCCACTATATCCTTCCTTACTCCCCTGTAAACCTGAAGACACTGAACAGAGTGCATCCTTTCAGCAATACTCTGGAGATCATTGATTTTTTCTTCAGATGGCACAATATCATAGTCTAAATAATCATCTTCAACTAATTCATAGTTTATTGGACTCGAACAAGTTGAATAGCTCAGACTGAGGTTGCCAGTCCCGGTCAAAATGTTGACAAACTCCTCCTCAAGCCAGGCCATGGCTTTCTCAAGCACACTGTTGGCCTTGCTCTTGTCATCATCAGACACAGTCGTCAATTCCAACCAGCAGTGGATCTGATTTATCTCATTGTGATCTTCTCCATCAAACCTCATTTGTCCTCTCGCAACGCTTACATCCCATTGCAAAATTATCTTCACAGCTGACTCGTATGAAGCCACAGCATTGTCCGGAGTTTCCATGGTAAGAGCAATTTCAACTACAGTTTTGTGTTCTAATTCTTCAAATTATAAGAACTCAGATAACTGGCAATGTATATATAAGTTATAATCTGTGATCTTCTCTTATTGGTAAAGGGAAAAGAATAGAGACAACACTACGGAGTGTGCAAGAAAGATTTTAGGATAGAGACAACACTACGGAGTGTGATCTTCTCTTATTTAGACTATGATTATTTATCATAGTCTAAATAATCATCTTCAACTAATTGGTCAGCCAAGAATATAGGAACTAAATCAGCTCCATTTACAAGTTACAAAGCAATATGTTAATTTTCTGGTTCTGCCAATTCCAATGTCATTTATACATACAAGCAGCTGCATCAGATATCATAAATCAGCAGAATAGCTATTGCAATGCTGGGCGAGCAAAATATAAATTTAGGTGAAATTAAACCTAAATTTAGTGCACCCAACAAACAAGTTATACACCTAGTACAACAAAAGGGCATCACTGTAACAAAGATAGAGAAATATATAAAACATATTGCATAATAGAATAGTATTGCTAACTGAAGAGTTTCTTAACAATCTAATAGGTATTGCTAATGTATGATGTTTTTACAGTTACAAAATGAATTCAACCTAGAATTTTGTTATGCAAATGGTTTCTAATGGAGAACCCGGACCCTCTCTTGTGCTATTTCATCTTTTGTTGCATCCTATGCTATTACATCGCTTATGTAACAACTTATATTACTTAAGCAACAACTACGTTACATCGCTTATGCAACAACTTTTCCATACATCTGTTGCAGTACAATGTAGTGCATTGCATTAGTGACCTACACGCAACACAAGACCAAGGCACAGTATTCCCTCTACATGAGGGGATCCGAAATTTTCTAGTGGAACAAGACCAAGGCACAGTATTCCCTCCGCATGGGGGGATCTGGATTTTTCTAATGGAACAAGACTTGGGAGGTATTAGTGAAAGGAGACTGTTAGACTATATACAAAGACCTCTATAGCAATGTAACAACCTTTTTTAAAATAAAAAAAAAAAAATTTTAAAAAATTTGGCATGACCTCCCCTAAAAAGGGGCCTACAACCACCTGTTCAAATTAAAAAAAAAAAAAAAACGCAATGACCCTTCCTGGCCTCTCAAGACATATTCAACATGTCCCAACACACAATACAAATCATACATTCCAGCATCCCATTCATCCGTTCATTATACCTCAACATGGTTCATTTCATAGTGGAACATCTACATACCATTTAATTCAAATTATCATAATTATAGTCCCAAAATATATGGTTAAGATCTAAAGTACATGTCTTAGAACAATAGGGGGCGGGGTCATGCTATATCGAAAAAAAATATACAACATAATAATTAATTTCAACATACACAATGAGATGTTATGAAATGCAATGCATGCCGATGTCACTTCCCATTTTCAACGTCCAAATTTATCACTTCACAAACTGTTAATGTAACCCCCTTTGGTACCCCCTCAGCGCCGAGGGAAGGATTGGCTACTATCCCTGACTGTTGGTACCTCCGTAGCGTCATTTGGGCCCAGATAGCTCAACCACGCTAGGGCAATCTCCCTAGTTCCCTCTAGGTTACATTAACCTACCGGCCCTTTGGTGACTCCGCGGCGACCGAGTTTTTCATGAAAACATTTTAATAAAAATTTCTTCCCAAAAATTCCCCTTTTTCTTTTCAAAACACTTGTTCCCATGTTCTTCCTAATGTTATGCATGAGTGCTTCATGCCATGAGATTCATTGTTCCAAAACAAGTTCACAATTTAATCTCACATTACACCTTACAAGAGTTTTCTAAGAATACATAACATGCTTCCATACAATAATTTTAGCAAGTTAACAATATTTTCGGTGAGGGAAATTAACACATAGAACATGCTTTCCACACATAACATAATTTAAACACATACCCACATATTCAAATTACAAAGTTTAGTCATCCTAAACAAAATCAACCCAATCTAGCATATCAAGCAACACAATAACCATAGAAAATTTACATTTAAGCATGCATCTCATATAAACCAACTTGCACACATTTTCATGAACTTCAACATGTCAAATAATTCATTTTAGAGGTAATTGTAATGTCTGTAAATTAAAAAGAAAAAGAAAAAGAGAAAAGAAAAGAATTTTTGGTGGGTCCCACCACTAAGCCTTAAGTGGCTAGAGACCATTTTTGGTCTCTCATTCTTTCTCTCTCCCCGTATCTATCTCTCTCTTTCAATTTTCTATTTCATTTTCTTTTCTTTTTCAACCCAATCTTTGAGGCAAGATTTATTCTTCGTTACTTGGCGGATTTAGGTGCCGTTTAGGGCAAAACGAAGCTCACGTCAAGCTCTACGCATCCATACCAGAAATTTCAGCTTTTAGCCTCTCCTTGGAGTTTGAAATTTGTGACCCATTTTTAAGGGTTTTAGTGCAAACTTGAGGTAGGGACACCTTAATCCACTACCTTCTTGTTCTATTGTGAGTTATAATCATTTGTTATGCCAAGCATGATTAATTAGAAGTTAATTGTATCAATGATTATTTTAAATGTTGTCTAGAGAAATTCATGTATTTGAATGTGAGTTGTTTTATGTGTAAAGCATGCTTAAATGTATTTTGATGTATCTTAATGTGTTAATAATTACTTGGGAGATGTTGAACATGTTGAATGTTTAATTTTATGGTGTAGAATTTTAAATGCCATGACATTGAATGTATGGAACATAGATACATGCACATACCATTGGGAATTTCAGGGAAGTGTTTTTGATGAAATGGTTTTATGCGAAACCCAGTCGTTGCGGGGTTACCAACGGGCCGGAGGTTAATATAGCCTAGAGGGGACTAGGGAGTCGCCCTAGCGTGGTTGAGCTAGTTGGGCCCCATAATGACGCCGCGGGGTTACCAAGGGTCAGGGACGCTAGCCAATCCTCCTCTCGTGTCGCGGCGGGGCTACTAAAGGGCGGGCTATATTAACAGTTTGGAAATGATGTTTTGGATTATGAAAATGGGGAGCGACACTAGCATGCATTGCATCTCATACCATTGCATTGGATATATTTGACATTGAATCGTTATGCTGTATTATTCCCCGACATTGTATGATCCCCATTTCCCATTGGTCTATACTTTGTTTGGATTCACAAGGACACAAGATGTGTGTCTTAAGTGTCACCTGCTGAGCTTTATGCTCACCCTACTATTTATATTATTTTTTTCAGGTCTTGGAAATGAACTAGTGGACGACAATCCACCTCAAGCTTGAAAATTGTTAGAAGGTTGTTTGCTATTTTGTATTTTGACCGTTCTATGTATATTCGTAGTTGTGGAAATGTAACTAAGTTAGTATTCATGGCCTTGTAACTTAAGAACGAACTTATCTTTTGTTTAATGTAAATGAAACTAGTGGAATTATGGTATATGTTTCCATACAATTGTATCATGTAACGTTGTAAGACAGGGACTTTAAATATTAATCTTGTATTTTGGGACTGTAATTATGATAATTTAGATTAATTGGTGTGTGGATGTTCCACCATGAAAGGAACTATGTTAAGGTATAATGAACGGATGAATGGGATGCTAGATGATTTTATGTGTTTTGTGTATTGGGATAGGTTGTTGAAGGCCCATTTCTAGGGGAGGTTATGCCGAATTTTTTTAAAATTTTGGCATCAATTAGGGTCGTTACAAATTTGGTATCAGAGCGATGGTTCGAATACCATTAGGACGACGGGTAGAGGCTTGCCTAGGGTTGTCTGGGCAGTCATTTGCATTGTTATTTCCTTGTTTGGAAAAGTGTTTTGCTATGTGAAAAAGCATGTTTAACTGCTTACTTGCTTACGTGCTTATGTGTTTATATACTTACATTAATGTGTTCATTGCATAGTATTACATGCTAAATGTTTGTACAGTATGTTTTTGCGTTGGGTTGTTCACGGTTGGACCTTAGTGTTATCATTATTGAATTGTTTCCTTTGTTTTATAGAACGATGTCACGGCGTGAGGAAATCAGGGAAATTGGCCCTAGACCGACTAGGGGTGATGTTGGTGAGAGCTCCAGCTCCAATCCGGAGGAGCTAAATGATGAGGACACACTTCTTAGGGACTTGATTCCCCCTAGAGCTGTCCCCACAAGGAGGGATAATGTTGAAGCACCCGTAGAAGTGGGTGAAGGTTCTGTGGCACTGGAGTTTAATCGTTTGTTGCAAAATGTCGTGAGGGCAACGATTGCTGCTCAGTCGCAGTCGGCACCACAACCTATAGTTCAAGTTGAGGAGACGCCAGCTCAGAAGCGTCTCAAGATTATTAAGGGGTTTTTTCAGCTGATGCCGGTTATGTTTGAGGGCGGTGCGGATCCAATGACAGCAGATGACTACATGGAGCAAGTTGAAACTCAATTGACTTCTATGGATGTGACAGAGGATCATTTGAAGATCATCCTAGCTACTTATAAGTTTGCTAAGGATGCTAAATTATGGTGGAAGTCGGTTACGAGCCGATACAAGGTAGAAGAGATGAGTTGGGACAAGTTCAAGGAATTGTTTTATGAAAAATACTTTCCGCTTTCCAAAAGATGGGAGTTACAAGACCAGTTTCATAACCTTATCCAAGGGAGCATGTCAGTGGCAGAATATGAAAACAAGTTCACTTCACTTTCTCGCTTTACTCCAGAAATGGTGAGAGATGAAGTTAACAAGACTCGGAAGTTTGTTTCTGGTCTTAATGATCGGATGAGGCCGTTGATCACGGCACAATTTATTAATGTTTACTCTGAAGCAGTGGAAAGGGCTTTGATGCTGGAAGCTGATAATAAAGAGAAGGATGCAAGAAGAGAACAGTTGAAGCAAAAGAGGGGTGCAGGGCCATCTTCAGAAGGATCTTCTTGGAAAAGGAATAGGGGCGGTCCATCTCAGTTTCAGGGACAACAGTCTGCACGATTTGCTCCTACCACTCCGTTGCCAGCTGGGTCTGATAGGAATGCAGTTGTTTGTTTTCAATGTCAGCAGCCTGGGCATTACAAGTCCAGTTGTCCTATGAGATTGACTTCAGTTTCTTCAGCTCCGAAGGCTTGTTATGGGTGTGGCCAGCAGGGCCATTTGATTTGGGACTGTCCGAGTCAGGGAGCAGGCACCACTAGTGGCAGAGGGTCACGGCAGAGGCCGTTACAGTCGGCTACGGTTCAATCAGGTTTCAGACCACCGCCGCCACCACCACAGCCTGCCTTGTCTTCTCAGGGTTCACGACCAGCTAGGAGGGATACTCCTACTGTGTCGGTACAACAGTCTGGTGTTTAGATTAGTAGTTCACAGGCACAGGCACCGTAGGGGTGTGTCTTTGCCCTTGCACCGACTGATGCATCTCCTGGATCTTCAGTTCTCCGAGGTATATTTCCAGTGTTTGGTTCTTGGGCCCGTGTTTTATTTGATTCTGGTGCATCTTATTCTTTCATTTCATCATCATTTGCACTTGCATCGGGGTTAGAGGTCAGTTTTATGGATCGGGCGTTGTGTGTTGATACGCCAGTTGGAGTTTCAGTGTCTTTGAGCCGAGTCGTGAGGGACTGTTCCATTGTGATAGCCGGGCGGACTTTTGTATTTGACCTTATCCTCCTAGAAATGACTAGCTTTGATGTCATTCTCGGGATAGATTGGTTAGCTTCCTTTCATGCCACGATCGACTGTTTCAGAGGAAGGGTTACAGTTTGTACTCCCGAGGGAGACTGTTTCTTTTTCGTGGGAGATCGGAATGATTCCTACATTTCATCGTTTTATGGAATTCGTGGACAGAGTCGTGGTGATTACTTTTTGGCTACCCTTATAGCCGAAGGGGATGATGTTGTGGAAGAATATTATCCTGCAGTTGTTCGTGATTTTCTAGATGTGTTTCCGGAGGATTTGACAGAGTTGCCTCCACACCGAGAAGTGGAGTTCTCTATTGAGTTAATGCCAGGTACCGCGCCGATTTCTATGACACCGTATCGTATGGCACCAGTTGAATTGGAGGAATTAAAAAGACAGCTTGATGATTTGAGGATGAAATGTTTCATCCGACCGAGTGTGTCACCATGGGGTGCACCGGTCTTGTTTGCTAAGAAGAAAGATGGTTCTTTGAGATTGTGCATCGATTATCGGAAGTTAAATCGCGCCACCATCAAGAACAAGTATCTTTTGCCAAGGATAGATGATTTATTTGATCAGTTGAGGGGAGCCAGTTGTTTCTCCAAGATTAACTTGAGGTCTGGCTATTATCAGTTGCGGGTTAGGGATGAGGATATCCCGAAGACAGCATTCCATACACGGTATGGACACTATGAGTTCCTTGTTATGCCTTTTGGCTTGACTAATGCTCCAGCGGCATTCATGGACTTAATGAACCACATCTTTCACGATTACTTGGACCAGTTTGTGGTAGTTTTTGTGGATGACATTCTTGTGTATTCACGATCTCGGGAGGAACACGAGATCCATTTAAGTATTATTTTACAGATTTTGTGGGAGCACCGGTTGTATGCCAAATATGAGAAATATGAGTTTTGGCTACAAGAGGTGAAGTTTTTGGGACATGTTGTTTTAGAAGGCGGAGTGTCAGTTGATCTATCAAAGATTGAAGTTGTTTTGAATTGGGAGCAACCCAAGAATGTGTTTGAGATCCGTAGTTTTCTTGGTCTAGCGGGTTACTACCGGAGATTTGTGAAAGATTTCTCCCGTTTAGCAGCGTCTATGACCCGTTTAACCCGGAAAGGGATTAAGTTTGCATGGAATGAAGCCTGTGAGTTATCTTTCCAGGAATTGAAGACAAGATTGACTACGGCTCCAGTGTTGGTGATACCTGAGCGTGGCTTGGGTTATGTGATCTATTGTGATGCTTCACGTGATAGTTTAGGGTGTATGTTGATGCAGGATGGTAGAGTAGTGGTTTATGGGTCTCGACAGTTGAAGACTCACGAGTACAACTACCCTACTCATGATTTGGAGTTGGCGGCAGTTGTGTTTGCTTTGAAGTGTTGGAGACACTACTTGTATGGTGAAAGATTCGAGGTGTACTTGGATCATAAAAGTCTCAAGTACCTTTTCTCCCAAAAGGACTTAAACAATAGACAGAGAAGATAAGTTGAATTCTTGGAAGATTATAATTTTGACTTGCAATATCATCCGGGCAAGGCAAATATGGTAGCAGATGCCTTAAGCTGAAAATCTCGTGGAACTTTGGCCTGTCTGGTTATTCGGTAGTGGAAGGTGCTTAAGGATTTGGCAGAGATGGGATTGTATTGTTTTGATGATGATGTTGACAGCGAGCTGGCATTCTTGTTTAGTCTTATGGCTCAGCCTACTCTTGTTGTACGAGTGATTGAGTCACAGAAACAGGACCCGGATTTAGATGCCATTCACGCTTTGATCTCCAGTGGTGAGACAGTGAAAAATTGGGCTTTGTATACAGATGGGGGTCTACGGTTCAGGGGTTTGTTGGTGGTTCCTACTGTTTGTCGTGAGGACGTCTTACGGGAGTTTCACACTTCCCGCTTTGCAGTTCATCCAGGTGGTACCAAGATGTATCACAATTTGAGACGTCAGTATTGGTGGAACGGGATGAAAAAAGATGTTGCACAGTTTGTGGCTAGATGCCTTACTTGTCAGCAGGTGAAGGCCGAGCATCAGAGACCAGCCGGTTTGTTACAACCATTACCTGTAGCGCAATGGAAATGGGAGCATAATGCTATGGATTTTGTGACAGGTCTTCCAAGGTCACGAAGGGGCAATGAGTCCGTATGGGTCATCATTGACAGATTGACCAAGACGGCTTACTTTTTGCCTATTAAGGCAACAGATGATGCAGAGAAGCTTGGTGTTCTTTATGTGAAGGAGATTGTAAGGTTGCATGGAGTTCCAGTAACCATTGTTTCAGATAGGGATGCTAAGTTCACTTCGAAGTTTTGGGAAGGACTTCAAGCAGTGTTTGGCTTAGCGTTGCACCTGAGTATGGCATTCCATCCACAGACTAACGGTCAGTCGGAGCGTACTATCCAGATTTTTGAGGATATGCTTCGGGCATGTGTGCTTGACTTGGGTGGTAGTTGGGAGGATCACCTTGATCCTCCCACTTATTGAATTTGCCTACAACAACAGTTATCAGGCGAGCATTCAGATGGCTCCATTTGAGGCGTTGTATGGTAGACCTTGTAGGTCTCCTGTTTGTTGGACTGAGGTAAGCGAGACAACCGCCTTAGGACCTAACATTGTACTCGAGACTACTGAGAAGATTAAGTTGATAAGACAGAGGTTACTTACAGCTCAGAGCCGACAGAAGAGTTATGCGGATAAGCGAAGACGGTCATTATCCTTTGAGGTGGGAGACCACGTTTTTCTTCGGGTTTCTCCACGGAAGGGATTGATGAGATTCGGGAAAAGTGGCAAGTTGTCTCCACGATTCATTGGACCATTTGAGATTTTGGACCGTGTAGGAGAGGTTGCCTACAGACTTGCTTTGCCACCACAGTTGGATAGGGTCCATAATATTTTCCATGTATCGATGTTACGGAAGTACGAGCCAGATCCATCTCACATTTTGAGTTGGGTTGATGTAGACATTGATGAGGATATTTCCTACGAGGAAGGACCAGTTCAGATTCTTGACACACAACAAAATGTGTTGAGGAACAAGACGATACCAATGGTGAAAGTCCTTTGGAGACACCACGAAGTCGATGAGGCTACTTGGGAGCTGGAACAGGAGGTTCGCTCCAAGTATCCAGAATTGTTTTCTTCTCCAGGTATGTCTTGATTTCGGGAACGAAATCTTTTAAAGTTGGGGAGAATGTAATGTCTGTAAATTAAAAAGAAAAAGAAAAAGAGAAAAGAAAAGAATTTTTGGTGGGTCCCACCACTAAGCCTTAAGTGGCTAGAGACCATTTTTGGTCTCTCATTCTTTCTCTCTCCCCGTATCTATCTCTCTCTCTCAATTTTCTATTTCATTTTCTTTTCTTTTTCAACCCAATCTTTGAGGTAAGATTTATTCTTCGTTACTTGGCGGATTTAGGTGCCGTTTGGGGCAAAATGAAGCTCACGTCAAGCTCTACGCATCCATACCAGAAATTCCAGTTTTTAGCCTCTCCTTGGAGTTTGAAATTTGTGACCCATTTTTAAGGGTTTTGGTGCAAACTTGAGGTAGGGACACCTTAATCCACTACCTTCTTGTTTCATTGTGAGTTATAATCATTTGTTATGTCAAGCATGCTTAATTAGAAGTTAATTGTATCAATGATTATTTTAAATGTTGTCTAGAGAAATTCATGTATTTGAATGTGAGTTGTTTTATGTGTAAAGCATGCTTAAATGTATTTTGATGTATCTTAATGTGTTAATAATTACTTGGGAGATGTTGAACATGTTGAATGTTTAATTTTATGGTGTAGAATTTTAAATGCCATGACATTGAATGTATGGAACATAGATACATGCACATACCATTGGGTTTGCATGAAATAGGAGAAATTGTTCTTGAAATAAATATGGGGAATTTCAGGGAAGTATTTTTGATGAAATGGTTTTATGCGAAACCTGGTCGCTGCGGGGTTACCAATGGGCCGGAGGTTAATATAGCCTAGAGGGGACTAGGGAGTCGCCCTAGCGTGGTTGAGCTAGCTGGGCCCCATAATGACGCCGCGAGGTTACCAAGGGTTAGGGACACTAGCCAATCCTCCTCTCGTGTCGCGGCGGGGCTACCAAAGGGCGGGCTGTATTAACAGTTTGGAAATGATGTTTTGGATTATGAAAATGGGGAGCGACACTAGCATGCATTGCATCTCATACCATTGCATTGGATATACTTGACATTGAATCGTTATGCTGTATTATTCCCCGACATTGTATGATCCCCATTTCCCATTGGCCTATGCTTTGTTTGGATTCACAAGGACACAAGATGTGTGTCTTAAGTGTCACCTGTTGAGCTTTATGCTCACCCTACTATTTATATTATTTTTTTCAGATCTTGGAAATGAACTAGTGAACAACAATCCACCTCAAGCTTGAAAATTGTTAGAAGGTTGTTTGCTATTTTGTATTTTGACCGTTCTATGTATATTCGTAGTTATGGAAATGTAACTAAGTTAGTATTCATAACCTTGTAACTTAAGAACGAACTTATCTTTTGTTTGATGTAAATAAAACTAGTGGAATTATGGTATATGTTTCCATGCAATTGTATCATGTAACGTTGTAAGACAGGGACTTTAAATATTAATCTTGTATTTTGGGACTGTAATTATGATAATTTAGATTAATTGATGTGTGGATGTTCCACCATGAAAGGAACTATGTTAAGGTATAATGAACGGATGAATGGGATGCTAGATGATTTTATGTGTTTTGTGTATTGGGACAAGTTATTGAAGGCCCATTTTTAGGGGAGGTTATGCCGAATTTTTTTTAAATTTTGGCATCAGCTTGGGTCGTTACAGTAATTAACATAAATAAGCATATTAGGCAACAATTAACAAGAGAAATTCACAAAGGAGCAAGAGATTTTGTGAATTAGAAACCCCTACCTTGATTTGGTGCAAAACCCTCAAATGGGTCAAAAATTTCAAATTTCAAAGGAAGCACCAAATTTGAAATTGTTGGTACTCACGCGTAGAACTCGTCGTGCTCTCCGTTTCGCCTCAAACGACACTCAAAATCACCAAGAAATGAGAATGGAATCAAGCTTCAAAGTTTGCTTCTCAAAAAGAAAAGAAAAAAGAAGAGAAATGAGAGAGAGGAAGAAGTTACGGGAGTGAGAGAGAAAAATGAAGGAGCAAAGGTGGTCTCTAGACCACTTAAACAATGGTGGTGGGTCCCACCACCAACCTTTGACTTTTCCTTTTTCCCTTTACTTTTATTTTTCACCACCTATATACATGTAATAAACCACCAAGTAAATGCCTCATAAATGTCATAAAATAAAATATACAAAATACAAGTGGACTCAACTAAAATACCCGTACGCGAAACGTGAAAAGACCGAAATACCCTTGCGGTGACAACATTTCTAGAAAATTGAAAAATGCTGAAAACCATAAACATCACAAGCAAGATCCATCAGCATATATTTTGAATGAATAAAATTGTACAGAAGTACCACTTGGGGTTCAGAAGACAGATACATATATATATATATATATATATATATATATATATATATATATATGTATATATAAAGAACAACAATTATAGGTCATACATCATTTTTTTGATCAATCAATCAATGGAACATTTCAGATTTCAAATGAGTCGAAAATTTCCCAAGCTATGATATCAAAATTGAGTGTGTTTTTCTAGTCAAATGAATTTTTCTTTTAATAATTTCCACCTACCTCTGGCTATTCATTATTTTTTTTTTACCAGCTATTTCATTGGTGTAGCTGAGTAGAGAATATGGAAAGCAAATATATTCATTTTCTAATCCATCACACCTCAGTAAAAGTAAATACAAAATAAAACCATTAACTGATTAACATAATCTTACCTGTCTCTCTGTAAAAACAAAAAACAAGATGCCAAAAACCAAAACCCTAATGGGCCACTTTCCTAATTGTGTACATCTACGCCATTGCAGTCAGAGTATGTAACCCTAATGCAAGATCGAGACGATGTCTCTAATCATACTTGAACTCTTGATCATCATGGGTCAAAAGCCTTTGTTTAGGATTGACTGGGCTGTTTTTGAAGTTGTAGATTGAGCGGTCCAGCCTAAGTGGGCTGGGCTTTTAGGGAGGGGTTTCAAGACTTTTTTCCAGGGCAAGGTTGAGCCGAAGTCCAACTTACTTGTAAGTTTAATTTGCAATTTTATTACTTATTTTTTAAATAAATTAAAAAAAAAAAAATCAGAATTTACAGAATTTGATAATTTTTTGAAAATTAAAAAATAATTTGATAGTATTTTCTAAATAAAAAAAATCGAATTATATATATATATATATGCGCGGGACTACGTCACCTCAGTGACTGTATTTAATCTCCTCTCAATGTGTGAAACTGTGAATGCAATGCAGAGAGCTCACATATGAAACTCACCCCTACAGGTGGACACATAATGGAACTTACTCGAACCAAGGCAGAAACGGTTCTATGTCCAAAAAGAATGAGACTAGTTGTTGTATTTATACATCCAAGTCCTAGTAGCAATTAATTTAAGAAATTACTCTTGACATTAGTTACTAGTCAATTGTAAGATACCGGTCAATTCGGTTCAATTTTTCTACTGTTCAGTTCCGATTTTAGTTTCAAAAATAAAAAAATGTTAGTTTACTGTTCAATTTGGTTTCAAGACTATTAGGACTAGATCCAAACGAAACATAAAATTTTCCAACTGTTCAATTTATTTTAGTTTCAAAAATGAAAAAATGTTAGCTTAGGGTTCAATTTTGGTTTCAAGCTTATTAGGACTAGATCCAAACCAAACATATGATAAGGCTAAACAATCTACACACCCATGTGCTTGAGCAGATGTTTTTGTACTCTTATTATGATAATTTGTGTGCTTTCAATATTATATGTAATATTAGTTATACTTATCAACAGAAATACAACTCAATATTTTTTCAATGCTATATATTTTAATATTTTTATTTTTTGTGACTCAGTAATATTTTTTCTACCTCTTAAAGTGGATAGTAAAAGTTGAGTATGCAAAAAAAGGAAGAAGGTGTGTGAGTTTCGTATTGTTCATTACATAATAATGCTAATAATCATGCTACCAGAACCTAAAAAGTATTAACAATAATTAACAGACATGTTACAACCATCTTCCTCTTCAGGAATACAGGACAACCAGGATTCAGAACTGGTAAAAAATACTGAAGTAGTGGAATGGACCAATGTTCAAAATCAATTGAACAAATGGACTATCCCTCCAGTAAGTGCCAAAAGCATTTACAAAATCGGAATGCTTAATTTAGCTGATCTATGGACTATCAAGACCATGGAACAGACCATGCAATTAAGCACTAAGGATACAATAATTAAGTTATTGTCTTCCCGTGACCTTCAGAGGCACATGCATAAATACAAGTACATCCATATAGGTTTAATTCAAATTGCTTTTAAACCTTTGACCTTGTTAGGTATGGATGCTTGTATTCAAGCAACCCTAAGGGATGCTAGGTGTCTGAAATTCCACCCTTCTTTGATGGGTGCCCTGGAAACCAGTCTATGTCATGGACCGGTTTACTTTGATGTATATCCTAGTCTGAATTTATCGTTAACCGATAAAAATATCCATGAGGCAGTTAGTCTTAGGATACAGACTTATGGATATGATTACTTACCTGGATCGGAAGTGATAAGTGTTATTTATCGCATCCATTACAAAGTATTGGATACTATGTGTCCCAAGGCCATACGCAAAGACTCTAAAGGAGTAACAGCGTTATGGAATACTAACATGTACACCTCCAATGTTGCCACAAAAAGGATGATTCCTTGGAGTGAAATAACATTTCCTGAACAATGGACGATTTCTAATGCCGTCCCAGCACAGCCAATTGCTAATCATAGCTTAGACTGTGTTATTCAGGACCAGGATGGTGATGTTTTTCTGAATTTCAGAAAATCTATAGATCTATCCAGATCTGCATCGTCGAAAGGAAGTCAGCTTCCTTACCGTGTTTCCTGTCCTCCTTCTCGACATTCGATCTCGTCAGATTACCGTAAGGAAGGACTCCCTGAAGCAGTTGATTCCAAGCTCAAGCTGAAAGGAATACAACAATCTCCGAA